TATTGCAGGATTAAATTCCTGGGAGGCCCCAACTTTCTTTAATATAATCTCTCTGCATTTCTTACAAAACTGTCAGGTTTGTGAAGGGAAAAAAGTATCTTGGTGACTTCTGAAAACTCCAACAGCTGGAGAGGTTATGTAGCCTAATTGAACAATACACTGTGCAGGCTGGAATGGCACAGCAACTTCAAAGCACTGATTCCCAGGAGAAGGATAGCTGTTCATATACGTGAAATGTCAGAAAACATTTAAATACTCAGATTTCAGCCACTGCCTTCTGCCTGAATGAAAACTTGCTGTCTGATTGCCAAATCCCTCCATGTTTTCCAACACAGTGGAGAAGTGTTTACCGTAATGTCTCCAGTTTTCTTACTTTATAGGAAATATACTGACATCAGAGGCAACTGTGCTAAGAGGAACCAGCTGTACAGTATAAGAGAAATACTGAACAATAATTTCTTGTTATTGTATTAGGCGATCTTGTGATTTGAAGGACCCTCTCCTGCCATTTTCTCCTCTTGGACTCTGAAGGCAATGTGCAAGTAAAGCTTCTACTTTTGGACAGAATAAATTGAACCAACATTTATCGCTCATTAGACTTCCTTGAATTTCATTGTAAATATGACTTTAACTGAAAAATTAAATATTGTTTTTGATAGCAGCTTTGTCTCTGAAATAAACTGACATACAAACTATACAATTATTGATGCTGCAACAATATCCCTTTATTCCAGGGAATCAATTGCTCACATAATTCAGTTTTTCTATTTGGCACTGGAAATTGCAATATTTTTTTTTTGTTTCTGTCCTCAGGTAATAGTGACAATATGTACCTCTGTTCTTACAACATTTTCTTTTTTAGGCTATGCCCATGTTACAGAGATATTATAACTTTCCAGTTCTGGGAACATTTGATTATCCCCCTCCAGGTGGCATGTGCATCATAATATATGGTTTTTTTTGTACGTCCCAAATGTCAATTTTAAGTTTGATCATTGTGACCCAAAACATAATTCTGCCTCCTGTATCACTTTGTGATTTTTTAAAATTTACTTTTTCTTTTCCTAATGATTGCCGCACCCTGAAATTCCAGCACAAAACACACAACTCCTCTGACTTCTTTTTAAAATTGTTCTTTTGGTCCCAGAACTGTATTGCAACCATTTTATTTTACAGTTGTGAAGAATAATTGTCCAGTTCCTGCCACAAGGAATGCACCTTTTACAAATCTCAGTGTCCAAAATACTAGATTGTTGAATACATCAAATATTCCATCTTTGGCTTGATTTTCCATTTGCATCCAGAAACAGCACAAAACCTTAACTTGGGATTTCAAAGCCATTTGCTTACACACCACAGCTGAAAAACAGGTAGAAGGGGCACAGGCCATAGTGATGGGAAGTGTGAACAGCACAAGCCACATAAGAAGCTTCCCTGTTCTGTCGCAAGGGTTGAAGTAAGGCATCAGCTATAGCGAAGTATATCATCCAGTGGTGGGATTCAGCCAGTTCGCACCAGTTTGGCAGAACCGGTAGCTAATGTTTTGTTGCCCAGGCCCAGAATGGACTTCCGGAAGTGGCATCCACACAGAGAACCGGTTGTTCACGTATTTGAATCCCACCACTGATATCATCTCTCCATTTTGAGAAAGTCAGAACTGAATGGTTGATACCGTAGTGAAAACCAGATGTTGGTGGGAGGGGAAAATAGAAGTGGCATTTCAGAGAACAGGATTTCCTTATAAAATGGACCAGAAATGCAGGATGATTATTCAAACAAGTTACCAGAGAATTCAACCCCCCCCCCAGTAAAATTGTTAGACTTTTCGATGCTGCAGCCTTTAGTGGTTTGTCTCCTAGCCATAAACCAGATTTCAGCTCTTTCCTCTTTGGCCACAGTGATGGCCTGTTTAGATCCTGGTTACCATACTGCATATCCTGATTGTTGGCTTCCCCTGCTTTTACCTCCACCCACCCATACCAGAAAAGCAAGCACCAATTGCTTTTCTTTGGAGCATGTACAGTAGTGGTCAAAATTGTGGAAACCTTTTGGGAAAAGTGTACAGTAGAAATGCCACCTTTGGTTAAGTTTCCACCAATTTTTCTTCTAATTTCTTTGTAACTGTAGCCTTGTTCACTTAATAATACTATTTTACATCGCTTTCTGGGCAACCAGTCAACTCTTTGCACCATTACTTTAATTTTATTACATTTTACAAGCTCATTAAATGAAAGAACAGAAAAAACCCCAACCAACTTGATAGCGATTACATAACACACTGACAAATGTCCTCCTCTCAGCTTCAATACATGACATCAATAACTGAATCCTACTGTGATCTGATTGGCTCATTGCCAAAACAAGATGACACCTGATTGGCTCTCTAAACACTCATGCTTATTGACTACAATCAGATGAAGGAAATCTACCTGATATCAACCTAAGCAAGTTATGCTTCCTTTTTCTGGTTATTTGGCTATACTTTTTCATAGAATACAGTACAGATAATTGAACAAACTTTGTTGCATTACATTCTTGATTAAATTATCTTTCCATTGATATATGGTACTACTCCCCAAAAAAGTGGTGTTATTAACCATCAAAACTCAAAAATACACTTTTCCCAAAAGGTTTCCACAATTTGGGCCACTACTGTATTTTGAAGGCTGGTCTTTGTAGGTATGTTTGTCTGTGTGTTCTGGTGGTGGGAATGTGAACAGTTTCATGGTTCTTCCTATCACTTGGGAGAAACTTTGCAGCTCTCTTCACACACACACACACCACCTTGCGATGAAAGGAAACAAAGAAAGGGTGGTTCTGCCATTAAAACTGTTGAATGGCCAGCATTTCTACAACCGAACTAGAAAGGATAAAGAAAGGCCTGATCTTTCCTTGGAGGTAGCCCAGCATATAAAATTGCTGAGAAAGCAAAGAGACAGAACTGAAGGACTATAGCCACCTGAGCGCACAACTGGCACACAGGCCCTTGTGTAAGACAGAACAACGTGCATCGTAAGTAGTGAATGTCCTGCTTCAGCCAGCAGAGGTGAAGAAACACTACTTCTAATGCTGAGTAAGGAAACTTCTTCCCAGGGAGCTACAGGTAGTTTTCGACTTATGACTGGTTGCTTAATTTAGCCCTCCCCCTGCAGTCACCTGATCATATTTTGGGTGCTCATTATGGCCATTTGTGGCATTCTGTGGTCACATGACCACAATTTACATTTTTTTCTGGAAACCGGTGTTCACTTAAGATTTCCAACAAAACTGCCTCCATAGAGAACAATGGGTTCGCTTAATGACTGTGGTGTTCACTTAATGACCACAGCATTCACTTTACAACCACTGCTTAATGATTACTGCAAAACAGGTTGTAAAAGTGGGTGTGGTCATGTGATGACCCACTCAATGACCATCACAACCTACGATCGGTCGTAAGTCAAGGATTACTTGTATGGGTGGACTGAGGTTCATTTCATCTCTTCTTGCCCTTTGGTTCCATTCTTGCACTGGGGAAAGTAGGAAATGCTGGTCAGTCCTTAGTCTGATTCTCCTAAAGCAAACATAAATGGTTGAGAGGGGAAGACTGCCCACAAATCCCTGGAAGGAGGCACTTCCGTATCACCCGGGAGAAATACCATGATTTAGATTAGAAGGCCACCTCTGGAAATTGCTGTAAAAATTACTTTCTCTAAGGAAGTACATGCAAGGCCTCTGGGTTTCATCTCTGATTTATTTCATCTTAATATCCTCACCGTTCTTCAGCATAACAGTTACAAACCCACAATCCAGTGTTCTATGAAGTAGTCTCTGAGATCGTTTTGGTGTGATGCTTTGTGCCGATCATTTATTTCTCCAGTTTTTGAACTGGAGCCTAAGCCCGTTCTCCCCTTCCTGCTTGCCAAGTCCAATGCACTCCTGATCTTCGGAATGGGCATATAGTTCAGCATTCAAGAGCTACTTGGTTTTAGTCTGAATGAAATATTTCATTTCAATTTTCTCTTGGAGAAAATGTCATTGTCAGTGATGTTTTTTTTCTCCCTGACCATAAGCACAAACAGATGACGAAGGGCAAAATATATGGACAAAGAGCTGTTCTAAACATCGAAAACATCCTAACAGTTCAAGGTATATTTTAAAAATAGATTTCATGTTCGTAATTTTAAAAGAGTTTGTTTTTTTCATTTAATGACTTTTTTCAAGTTGTCCTTGGATCACTTTCTGTTCACTGGAGTTTGTCTGCAGCTCATTTTATGGTGTATGGAAATATATCTGATCCATATTGTTTCTTAGTCTGCCCTTTCAAAACAAAAAGAACATCAATAAGAAAAAAAACCCACCCCTACTAATAAAGGATATTACTACCTACCTAGCAAAGATAACTTGGCAGGTTTTGTAAGTAGGGTCCAGTTTCCTTGCAGAAGATTCAGTATTCTCCTTGTTCAATATACTTGTATGCCTACCACTTTCCAAGTGCGTTTTCTATATCTCTTTCCACTCTAAGAACATTTGTCTTCGGTCTCTAAACTCTAAATTTTCTCCCACAATGGAATGGGTTTTTCCATGAACCATTTATTATACCCATTCATACAAGACAACATTTGAGAATTATTTTCTGCAAGCAGTTTTGCCCCCAAAGAAGCCATTTCTTCTACGAAAATATATAAGACAGTCCACTTTGAAGCTCTTTGAGTCAGTCAGCAGTCAAAGCAATATTCAGTATGCTAAATGCACAATCAAGTTTAGCCAAAGTAACTGTTTTGGGGTTTGATTTGACAATGGAAAGATATGATCCTCTTGTTGAAAAGGAAAACTCATTCACTAGTGGACGGCCCAGGCACAGCCATGGTGACGTCTGCCCAGAAATAGGCTAATCCTAAACAGACAAAAGGAAGAGATGGGCATGGTGATCTCACCTTCAGAACAGACTTGATTTTACTTGCAGGACATTGGAACAAAAAGGACCGAGCCTGCTCAAGTGACCTTGCGGCCAAACCCAAGAGAGACTACCTTCAGCGGTTGAGGAAGAAGGACTTAATGCTCTGAAGGATGGGATATTTCTGCTTCTGTCGCAGCTTCTTGCGGATGATGGGGATCCAGACAAGCCCACATACAAGCATCATGAGGCCAAGGGAAAGGAAGGCCGGACCACACAGCTTAAACACCTCCTTGGTTATGTTGCTGGTTTTGTTGCCCATGTTGTTGCTTATGCTGGTCGTGTTGTTGTTTCTGTCCAGGGTGAGGCAAGTTAGACTAGTAATGGCAATCCCAAAGAGGAACACTGCCCCGCCCACTGAGAGCACAATGACTGGTTTGTGGTAAATGTCCCATTTATTCCGGGGAGGAGTATTCCAGCCGGACTCACTCCGAGAACTGATGCACAAGGTACTGGCTGTTTGGCTGGGCAACAAGTCCTTGGACTCAGGGGACTTCTCTCCTGCCTCCATTTCTTTGGTTTGGGTTTCCATGGCTACCAGTTTTATAGGCTCACAGCATTAGCACCTCTGGAGATGAGTGGGGAAGAGAGAGAAACAGAGAGAGAAAGAGAGGAATTGAGGTTATTTGAGCAGCCTTAGATATGAATCTCCACTTCTGCCCAAGCCATGGACCATCATTTATTAATGTTATTTATGGGCATAAATGGCTGACTCATTCTTTCAACCACACACCAAGGCTAGGACATAAATCCAGGAAAGTGTTACAGCTTTGGAAAGGGCATTTTGTGAGCTTTTGCATGCCTTTGCCTGAAATTCCGGTCTCTGATCAAGGTCGCCTGAGAGAACTTGGAACAATGGGTGTATAATTTTAGAAGTCTGCTTGCAGTGGAAGCACACTCATCAGATTTCAGTGATTGTCTCACAGTTAGGCCAGCACAAGGAATTATATTGCAGAGTCCTGAAAAAAGGACCCTACATCTTGGCTTTAAGGTTCTTCCATCTAGATTTCTTAATGTGCTAGCTTAAAAAGTGAGGGGTGGTCTTTTTTACTCATTTCTTGGCTCGTAATTCTCATAGAAATAACAGGGTGGTAGGATATACAGGACCAACAGAAAAAGCCAGAATTTTTTTAACTTACTCAAGAACATTCGCAAACTGGAAGATGGTGGATTATCCCATTTCCCAGTAGGAGGGCTCTTAGTTGCTCTAATGTCACCACATTTGGTTGAAATTTTGAGTTCTGAAGCCAAGCTGAACTTCTCTGGGGAGACTCAGCAAGCTTATTCCTGTCTCTGATAGTCGCCAGCCAGCAAAGTTTGAGGCCTATTAACCCAAAGGAAGTTCAGTGTATGGCTTAGCTGCTTGCTTGCTTATTTATTAAAAACAGCTTTTCCCAATCTGGTGCCTCCCAGTCTGGGTCCTGCTGGCTGGAAAATATATGGAGCTGAAGACACAGCAGAACTGAAGGATAGTAGATTGGTAAAGGCTACTTTAATGTCTCTGTCTTTCTTTCAGGCAGATATGTTCAAACCAGCATACCAAAGCAACATAAAAATTAACATTAATTCTTGTCGGCTTTATATTGTGAAATGGTTCTAAAATTGGTAAAAGGTTGAAGTCTGTTCCCCAAAACATGGGCATCCATAGGAAGAGACAAGAAGAAGTAAATAATAAAATGGGTATCACAACATCAGTACACAAACACAGCCTCACGTATTTGTGTTTGGTGTTGTGAGGGCAGAGCTTATGATAATACATGTTATATTTTGTCTTTGTGGTTAGGAATGGATGCCTATGTCCAGTGCTTTTTTTCTAAAAAAAAAAAAAGGTGCCGGAACTCACACACGTCATACAACCCGCCTTGCCTACCCTACAAGGTTCCATCCAAAAATGGTGCCGGAACTCCGTTCTGGGCGTTCTATGAGAAAAAAAGCCCTGCCTATGTCTAAATCTTCTGATGGACAAATTAGGTCTTACTGAGTCCCAAAGATGCTTCTTCAAAAGACAGCTGGACTTTGTTTTTCCTTGAAGACATTTTGCTTCTCATCCAAGAAGCTTCTTCAGTTATGATTGAATGATGGAGAATGGAAGAATTTATATTCCTTGTAGAATATAAATTCTTCCATTCTCCACCATTCAGTTTTTCCTTGAAGACATTTCACTTATATTCCTTGCAGAATATAAATCCTTTCATTCTCCACCATTCAGACCGAACTGAAGAAGCTTCTTGGATGAGAAGCAAAATGTCTTCAAGGAAAAACAAAGAAAGTCCAGTTGTCTTTTGAAAAAGCACCTTTGGGACAATCATGACCTGGATGATTGAGAATCTTCATAGACATCTGAGCCAGAGATGAAGGTGCTTGGTGTTTTATTTATGATCCATAAATATGTCTTCATAGTGCTTTGCTGATATCATGTTTAGCAAATGCTTTTATTATGTGCTATTTTGATTATATCCCTGTCAGGTTCACCTATAGCAGGGAGTTTAATCCTCATGACATGGGCATGGCAGGGCATTTAATTCAGGCAGCAAACAGTTTAATGGAATTCATTCATTTGTTCATTTAGTCTTCACAGAAGATCTCAAAAGATCACTATTTATTTAATCTACGTATATTGTTGTACACCACCTAGAGTCACTTCTGGTGAGCTGGGTAGCTATGTAAATCTGATTGATAAACAAACAAACAAATGGCACTTTTGTATACAAATGGACCATAATATAAAATACATAATGGCAGCTGCAGAATAGATAGACCAAAGACAGATGACATATCTATTTCACAGGCTCCATTAACCTCCAGACCCCCATGCCCAGAGGTTTATTAGCTCCTCCTCTTCCTCCGGGAAAACATACTCAAGCATCATATCATTAACATGGTTTTATAAGCTACAGCAGTGACAATTCATGACATGTAAATAATGAAATGTTTTAACAGAAACATGGGATGGCTTTGGTAGGTCAATAATATTTATCAAGGAATAGTTGTCAAAGCTTCTGAAGGTTCTGATTCAACATGAAGTGAGAGACGTGGGACTGTGGAGTTGCTTATACTGTATATTGCTTGCTGTGTCTAATTTATGGTAATCCACTTATAATTTTAGCCTATATTGTGCCTACTATATTATGCCTTATAAATAATGGAATTTATTTACCATTTCCTCCAAATAAATTATTTATACATACTGTTTACATAGGTACTATATATACTGTTTTCAGGTATATGCATGTATATATGTGCTAAACCATCCAAAAAACAACTCTGCTACATTCATTCTTTGTAGCTAACCCATTGCTTTGCACAGTAGTCTTCAATATATCGATCTGTACTGTAATTGAAATGGATATTTATCCCCGCACAGACTATTAGGGCTGCAAATGACAACAAATTTCATCCATAAACAATAAAGTTACAGATTTCCTCATTCACTTTCCCCCACTCTCAAATGGAGCTTAGCTGAAAAAAAACCCTGCATAGATTTTGGTAAAGTTTGGAAGTCTTGATCCCATCATATAGAGATCCTTGCCAATTTAGTCTCAGTTTATAGAAAACAGCAGCTACAGGTAGTCCTTGACTTACAACCATCTGTTTAGTGACCGTTCAAAGTTACAACAGCAATTGAAAAAAGTGACCTATGACCATTTTTCAGAGTTCATGACCGTTGCAGCATCCCCATGGTCACGTGATCAAAATTCAGACGCTTGGCAACCGGCTCCTATTGCAGTGTGCTGAAGTCATGTGATCATCTTTTGCAACCTTTTGGCAAGCAAAGCCAGCGGGAAGCCAAATTCACTGTGTTGCTAACTTAGCAACTGCAGTGATTCACTTAACAAATGTGGCAAGGAAGATTGTAAAAATGGAGCAAAATTCACATAACTGTCTTGTTCAGCGACAGAAATTTTGGGCTCGGTTGCAATTGTAAGTCGAGGACTATCCATATTTATATATTTCTGAGGTCACATCATGAACCAAGCTCCCTTTTGGCTACCTTTCACTTCAGATTCTGACTAAAGTGGACAATCTGTGATTGGGATTTTTTTTTGAAAAAAAACTTTGCACTGAATCTCAAAACAAAGTTCTGTGTTCTTTAGCCAAGCTAATACACTGTACTTGCAGTACATTACCTCACACCACATAAAGAAATACCCAGAATAACAGACCAACCATGGTACTTTGGCATGCTCAAACATGTAGTCTGATACAACATTTTGCAGCTGTCAAAGCAAAGTCAGCTGACCTCTGGTTATCTGCATTAGAAATGGAGTTCTGAGATCACATAGCAGGTGGTCTCACTGGAAATAATTGCTTACAGTGAACCTTGTATGGACAATCACAAAAATATTTCATTATGAAATGGCAAGCACATGAGGTTGTTCCTTTCTATCCCTTCTAGCCTCCTAAGATGCTCTTGATTATCTGAGTTTACTTGTTATTTTTCAAAGCGAATAGTCATACTTCCAAACAAAGTGATGAATTACAGTACAACCAGTTGCTATTTCCTAAAAATGTATATAGGCGTAATGGGACCTGGCAATGCCTTTTCTAAATCAAGATGATATTAGAAATTGACTGCTTGCATTTGAGCATGCTGATTTCCTATTTTTAGAAAAATTAAAGAAGCTGAATTAATTAAAGTCAGGTGGGGCAGAAAACCTATGGATAATCTTGTTGCCTTTCACTGATCATGGGTTGCTATACTGTGCCATTAGATACTATACTGTGCTACAACTCATATTTTTATTTGTTCAATACTAAAATTATATAAATAATTTTGTATGTATTGGGAGAACCACCATCCCATAAGTTAAGAGCTAATGAAGTGTAGCATTGTCAGCATATTTAAAAATTCCTCATTTGAATGGAATGTTTCTGTGGACTGGAACAGAAAAGATAAAGTATAGGTTTTTTATCCTTGCATTAAAGGAAGTTAGATGTGAAGAACACAGGAGTATGTCAATTAAGGAAAGATACTACTTTCAACGGTATTTCAAATCTCTGTTTTACCTTTTCTTCAAGTTACATTCTAGAAAATATTATTTACTGCCTCTTAAGTTGATTTTATGCTCAGGACAATTTTATGGAAGAAAGACCGCCTAGAGACATCTTGTTGAGATATCTGTTCTCTAGCAATTTGTCTCAATTGTCCAACAGAGAGTTATTTATGGGTGTTATAGAAATGTGATCAATAAATAAAATAAATTGAGAAATTTGGGGAATATATGTGGATTTGTGAATTTAAGGACGTTACTTGTGAAAGATTTAAATATTAGAAATCTACAAATGTTTCATCATTCAGGGCTGTCTGTGCATTTATAGAGATTCTTCAAATATTTGCAAGGTTTTCCGCAGTACAATGACTCTGAATATCTTGCTTGAAAGCTCTGAAACCAGAGGTACAAGATGTTCTGCTTCCTCAGAATAGCCAGGTAAGGCTGGGCACAGGAACTGGAATCTGTCTCAATTTAGCAGCTACCGTATTTTGTGGGGGAAGTGGTTTATAACCTTGACTGGAAACTAAAGGAAATTGAA